GAAGCCTTCCCTGTCGACTTTTGGTCAGGACCCCATGTAGGGTATTAGGGTTTAGGGTGTAAGGTTTAGGGTTTAGGGTTTAGGGTTTAAGGTTTAGGGTTTAGGGTTTAGGACGCCATGGTGTCAAAAGCCCAAGTAGAAGGAGTAGGGTTTCAGGGTTTGGAGCTTGGGAGCCGTAGCCTTTTGGTAACATGCTTCCTCAGTTTAGGGTTTAGGGTTTAGGGTTTCGGGTTTACAGCATCATGCCACAAAAAGTGTGTAATGCGCCAAGTACTTCGAATGAAGATAACACAAACTCATGGCCCGAGTACTAGGCGGAATGCCTTTGAAAGAGGGTTTGGAAGAATGAAGAATGAACAGTAGTACTCCCTTATAATCCTTATTATGGTTCTACTAGTAGCATAGTGTGCCTCAGAAGCCTGTTCTGACCATTGAGGTCCCCCTATCATAAGCCTTCAAGCTTTTCCGCGGCCTTAAAAGCCGACCGCGCGACAGGCAGTCACCGATACGACAAGGGCACCAACCCTGAGGCAAAGTGCCGGCGTGAGAAGCAGCCACCTGCTTGCACGGAGAGCGTTCGGGGTTCAAGGGTTTCAGAGATCAGAGCTTTGGGTGTGGGCTTTCAGGCTAAAGTTTACGGCTTTTGCTGAGGGCCTGCTTTGGGTTCCAGTTGTCATGGTTGGAGGGATTCTTTCCTACAGTTGGAGCCCTCAACGTTGCGGAGGTCAAGTTCTTGCAGGCAGAGTATGGCTTGACAAGGTTTTGTGTGAGTTTACTATCGGCTGACACCAACTGACAGCTTCAGCCAAGCCCAGCCAAAGTTCAAGGTTCATCGGTACGGTTGTGTTGCCTATGCTTTGCCCCCCCCCCAATTCCCCCGAGGTGCCAGCAGCGTGAGCGCCTTTGCCGAAAGCAGCAGTGGCGCTCAGCTGCCATTGCCAGGAGCTCAGGGGTGCAAGGTTTTAAGGTTTAGGGTTTAGGGCTTAGGAGTTTAGGGCTGAGTGTGTTAGGGTTTTCGGGTTCAGGGTTTGATAGGATGTGATGAACTTCGTTTTACAGGGATGATAGGAGTGATAGGGCTCCTGGGGGCAAGCACCAGTAAGCTTTAGGGTTTTATTGTTTTGGCTGTCAGGCCTCCATGTGTCAGGAATTCGATGACGCATTTGACTGGCGGGCTCCCTCAACCCCAGAAAGAAAAACTCTAAACCTTCGGACTAAAACCCTAAACCCTGCACCCCGCCAGAGTTTCGATTTCTGTGAGCTCTGGGCTTCAAGCACCATGGGTAGTGGGTTTCTGGGTGCTCCTCAGGAATCATGCTTAGGGTTTAGGGTTTAGGTTTAGGGTTTAGGGTTTGATTTATCAAAGTAAAAAAACCCAATAGGTTAGTCAAAGTGTGTGTTTACTTGGGACGCAAAAGGTGTATGATAGGTGTTACATTCTGCAACTTCCCAATGAGTGCGCCAATCAACTCAGCCGCACGAGTGTCCAAACACGCGGTGAGGGCATCTCTCAGTCTGCAAGTCGTAAACCCCACAACTCCAAAACCCCAAACCCCTAAACCCTAAACCCAAAGCCCCACAACCCTTAATCCAAAACGCCAAGTCTTATACTGTAAAAATCCTTCTAGAACAATGCTGCATCGGAACTCGGAAGCCCGAAAACCTTTACAAAATGCGGTTTCCAGTTCTATGATGCATATGGTAGAGAGAGAGAGAGAGAGATTTATATATATATATATACATGAATCATGGCACATGTGAAATCGAATTGCTGTCGCTTCCCCGAAGCCTTGATAGTATCGTCCCCTGGGCCTTCAGAAAGGCAACTCCGAACATGGTTCCACCACGGAGACAAGCGTACCTGAGCTCATGGGTTGTCTTGATTCCCAGTGATGTAGGACTCTTCGAGATACAACGATGCCTTCAAAGAAATGCCTGATAGCCAAACTGATCGTACGCTGCGGACTGCCAGTTGATGGCTTGATGCAAGGGGATGTCGAGAACTCGACCTGGCAGCCTAGGACCCTATTGCCAAGCTGCACTGCGCCCTGGGCTTTTGCCACAAGCCAGACAGTTAGAATCAGGACTGCCTCGGAACTGGCTGAGAAAATCTGTGTTTCTCGCGGCTTAGATTTTTTAAATTTGTGCTGACCCTTTCGCTCTGCCAGGAGGTCACCCTGTTGGGTGCAGGGCTTTGGGTTTAGGGTTTAGGGTCTTACCCAGTGTGAGGTACACCGTGATGCCAGGCACTCCCTGTAATTGAAACGAACTGAGGGCCCCCATTTGGCTAAGACATCACAAAGATGATCTACGGGCACATCATGCGCTAACGTCCCAGCCTTGAGCAGTACCTCGAGGATTGTCTCAACCTCATTCTCCAAAACACAACACCAACAGCTGCGCCGTCGCGAGAGAAACTGTGAGCCTCTGTGCCTGCAGACCTCTTCAGAGGGAAGCTGGGGCATCCGTAAGCCTTAAACCTCAGGGTTGAGGGTTTAGGGATTAGGGTTTAGGGCCCAAATCCCTAAACCTTGAACCCTGGGGTTTAGGGTCTTGGGCTAGGCACTGAACCTTAAATTTTAAACCCCAAACACCAAACCCTTAACCCTAAAACCCCGCTACCCTAAACCCTAAACCCAAAACAGCACACCCCAAACCCAAACACCAAAACCCATTAAAGCCGAAGAGCCCAATGCTGCAACTCCGGGCCCAGCAGAGAGCAGAGCGCCGGCGCCAGCAACCGAAGCGCCGGAAGCTTCCTTGGCGCTATATGAACAAGAACAACAACGAAACATGTGAAGAAGAACAATATTAATCAGAACAACAATAATCAGAATAATAACAATAGGCATGACAATACTGGCATGAAATGGTGCACGCTCCATGAGAAAACGGATCCCAGGAGTCGCTTCAGGCAAGTCACAGCATCTCTGCAAAAGCCAGGGCGTACGCAACCTATCGAGCGACTCATCCGAAAAGCGGTTATCCCACAGAGGAAGCTTCGCATCTTCGGGAGACTCCGACATTCTCAGGAATGCCCTCCGGTTCGGAAAGCAAGCCACGCTTGGTTCTCCAGAGTCGGATAGGCTGGTTACAACTGAACTCGGATCATGCCGGCTTAGCACTGAAGCAAACCTAAATCCTTCCATTGATCAGAACCTA